TGTATTTGTTTTGAATGTCACAAAGGAGTTACTTACTAATGATATTTTCTTGAAACCTAGACTTAGAATTTTGCTTGAACTTTGTATCCTGAGAATCCTGAGAATTGCAAGTTTTGTTTTGCTCTTGTTTTTCTATTTTGAATTTTGAAATTATAATTTTGCTCGCAGTGCAAAAGTTCAAGTGTGGGAATTTGATCAGTGCATATTGATTGACTTTCATTTACTATTGTATTTAGGCAACTCTATAGTTTATTTCATTATTTTTACTATTTTAATGTGTTTTTTATATTTAAGTTTATTTATGGCTTTATTTTATTTTTGTACTTTATTTTCAAGTTAAACTGGTATTTGATACTTGTCCACTGTGCAGATCATAACTTGAGCTAGGCAAATTGGATTGACACGTTCTAATAGGCGTTGGAAATCTAAGAGAAATAGCTACAAGTTTTGTGTTGAAGTCAAAAACGGATTCAGAGTGAAGCAGGGTCTAATAATTCGTTAAAGTTCCAGACTTAATTTAAAATAGTTAGTTTGAGCCGGTTTTTGTAATTTTCGGGTCGGTTTCCATAAGGGACCGAATTTTTCTTTTGTTATATTAAGATTTTCATTGCTATAGTAACTCTATTCAGCATTCACGAAATTTAGAGGTTTGTATACAAATTTCATGGAGAACTAAGTTCACGCGGTTGATTTGGTGTATTAGTTTCCGTCGACACTTTGAGGCTTTATAATTTTCAATCAAATTTACTTCCCTTTCAATATTATTTTCTATGTCTTATATGTTTTATTCAAGTTCTATAGAATATGTGTTGATTAATTTCGATTAAATTACATTCACTAATCTTCATCACGTGTACCATAGCTTTTTTGTTAATTCGTGCGACCTTTTTTTTCGTTTGCTTAATTCAGAAAATAGGAGTGTGAATCGCATAGCATCGATTATGTTTGTTGATTGATGTTGTATTTGAAGAAGGACTAGAATCTGCTTAGGGCATGAAAATTGTATTAACCAATGATAAGTTAGGAAGCCGAAACAGTAGATCAGCTTATTTTATAATCACTTATTCTAATCGAATCAAAACCCCCTTATTTCAATCAGTTGGTAAAAATCAAGACAAAAGTCCTTGTGATACGACTTCGAGTGTCGCTACCCTAAATTACACTTTTAAACTCGTTTTTGGTGACTCACTTTTCCTTGCCAACTCTCCACTTTCTTTGTGGCACTAGTTTCATAGAGGGGTTGATGGTGAAGCGGTGGTACACCACTCTGGTATCTATCCCCAACATGTCGAATGGGACTCAGGAGAACAAGTTGAAGTTTATAATGAGTTGGTTGGCTAGTTTGCGCTCTTCTTCATCATAAAGTAAGGTGAGTGTATTTGACACTTGTGAGCCAAATAACCTATATGAATCTTCTTCAGATCATCTAGAGGCGTAAGCCTCTCATTTTCCATGCCCAACCTAGGATCCTAACTAGTATTGTATGTATCATGTGCTTTGGGAAAGAGGACAACCTTGTGTGCGAGATCCTCCCTCCTCATCGCTAGACTACTCTAGTTTCATTTTTGGCCACTTTGTTGGTCTTATTCATCCCCTATAGACCATTTATTATACATATTATCATCTAACAATTAGCCTCAGTGCTGATCTTTTGATCAGGTCTAAGCGACTCAAAATTTTGGGAATATGAGTGACGATGATCTGAAGGTAACGTACAACAGAGCACCACTTTTTAAAGATAAAAATTATGCTTCTTAGAAAGAGAGCATGTATGTTAACTTAATGTCAATTGATAAGAAACTATGGGTATCAATTACCAACAGACCTTTTACCCCTAGAAACAAAGATGATAATGTTGTTAAACTCCCAAAAAATTGGACCGGTGGTGAAACCAAAAAGTCTTCATATGATTTGAAGGCAAGGAATATACTTATATCTGCATTGAGGGCTAGAGTATATTACTTTATCTCACATTATAGAAGTTCACAAATTACTGGAATACTCTTCAAGTCCTTTATGAAGGAACTGAAGACGTTAAGGATTCTAAAATCAATATGTTGACAAAGAAGTATGAACTTTCCTGTATGGAACCCGGAGAATTTGTGGAATCCATGCAGACTCGTTTTCTCCATTTAATCAACAAGCAATACTATTTTGGGAAATACCTTTACTAAAAAAGATTGCGTTAACAAAATTTTGAGATCTCAGTGCATGGAATGGCAACCAGAGGTTACTACCACAAAAGAGTCAAGTGATCTTAGTTCTTTAGATATCACAAAACTTTTTGGAAAACTTACCAAACATGAGAATTAACTGAAATGGCTCACTGAAAGTGAAGTAAAGTCGAAGAAGAAATAGAAGGTAAAAAACAAAAGCAGGATCTATCCTTAAAAGCTTTGTTATCAAGGACAAAAAAAATAAGGACGAAAGTGATAGTTCTGACGAAGACTCTTCTAAAGAATAAAAGATGGGGTTATTCGTCAAGCGCTACAATCAATATACGAGGAATCATAAGCTCAAACATTTCAACAAAAGATTGATTAACTTCAAAACTCTCATCCGTACAAGAAAGAACATAAGATTTTTCATAGAGTAAAGATCCAATAAGCAAATTCAAGTAAATATTTCTCATAGACTTCAGTTCGTGGAGCTGCGTAAATGTCAAGATCCAGAAAGAAGAAATTAAATATTCAACTTTTATTTTAGACTAGTAATTGTACAAACTCTTGTAATTTTGTTACAAATCATATTGGAAGACCAACTAAATTTCAAAGGGAAACCATTGAAGAGTGGATTAAATACAAAGCGAGGATGAATGTTCCAAACCACTATAAATTCTAGTGTAATCTCTCTCTCACACACGCGCGTGCCCGCGCGCACGCACGCACACACACACGCACACACACACACGTACGCGCGCGCACGCACACACACACACGCACACACACACACACACGCACGCACGCACGCACACACACACACACACACACACACACACACACACACACACACACACACACACACACACACACACACACACACACACACACACACACACACACACACACACACACACACACACACACACACACACACACACACACACACACACACACACACACACACACACACACACACACACACACACACACACACACACACACACACACACACACACACACACACACACACACACACACACACACACACACACACACACACACACACACACACACACACACACACACACACACACACACACACACACACACACACACACACACACACACACACACACACACACACACACACACACACACACACACACACACACACACACACACACACACACACACACACACACACACACACACACACACACACACACACACACACACACACACACACACACACACACACACACACACACACACACACACACACACACACACACACACACACACACACACACACACACACACACACACACACACACACACACACACACACACACACACACACACACACACACACACACACACACACACACACACACACACACACACACACACACACACACACACACACACACACACACACACACACACACACACACACACACACACACACACACACACACACACACACACACACACACACACACACACACACACACACACACACACACACACACACACACACACACACACACACACACACAATTTATTACATTAGTTGTAGGTTTTGTTAGAATTAGTTATTCAACCTTGTCTTAGTATGGATTAAAACTAAATACTTTAATTGTAGAATCTTGTGTGTGATTGAAAATCATTCGATAATTTTTCTTGTGGAATTGAACGATTTTTCAATATGATTAGTTTGTTCATTTGGTGTTATTCAATAATCTAAATTAATATATTATATTCTTGTTAAGTACATTTGTGAATCTTTCAATCAATAAATATAATCTCTTTTATGTAAAATTTCTTCTACCACGCAAAATAAACTATATTTGAAACTCTGATATAAACTCTTTCATACAAATTTTATATTTGGGAGATTTATTCACTTTCCTCTATACATTTATTGTCCATATTCTCACCTAACAAACGACACACCCTTTCTTAACTCTAATCAAACCTATTCTCATCAAAACACTACTTCAACAAAACAATCCTTCCCTCAACAAAATAGTACAACATTGGCCACAGCTACCTCATCCCCAAATTCCAATACTACGATCCATACCTCCCAACAAATGTCATCCAATACATAAAATTTCATTCCATATTCACAGTTGGCCTCGCCATAAACTGCTGACCCAATAATTTCACCACATCACCCACCTCCCTCACCTCATTAATGGAAATGATCTCTATTTACCATTTTATTATTGGTTTAAACCTGAATATAGTTGCTCACCATTTTACACAACAAAAATTTGTGAATGTTTCGGTTAGAGATGCATGACTTTGTAGTCTAGAGATAAATACAAACACGTGAAATCAATTAAAATTTATGTCGTGTTAAGTTTAATCTTAATTTTAAATCTACTAAAATATTAGTAAGAGTTAAATTAAGATTAAAGAATCAGTCAGTAAGAGTTTGATTGGAAGGATATTAGTGAAGGAAATCAATAACTTTTTCATATTCTAAATTTTAGATCATTTTTATTTTTGCTAATCCGTGATAAAACAACCAATCAAAAACTTTTTGTTCAAATTAGGAGTTCAAAATCTATGAATCTAAAGTCATTAAGTTGTAACTAAAAGTATGAAAAATGTTGGAAAAACTAAGATAAGAAAACACTTGCAACCAAAAAAAATGCAAAATTGTTGAGTATAATTTTCTTATTATTTTACTGGTAGATGAAAAAATGACCAGCTACAACGTTAAATATTTTATAGCATTGCATAATGTTGTCGTTTCATTTGCTCCTTTAATATTTTGCATAATTGAATGATGAACAGGCCATGAATATTTGCATCCATGAAATTGGTTTATAGTGTGTAATTTTGTTGAATGGTATCAATGTCAAGACCCTTCAACTTCACCACAGATTCAACATGTCCCTTGAGTGTATGAAGCTCTTTCAGCCTAGCAGCCTCAGCGCGTCTCTTGGCTTGCTCAGCCATTTCAGATTGTTCACAGTGATTGTTGTTGTTCTTATGTGATTCTGGAACTTGAAGACCGTGGAGTGTGCGTTGAGCCATAGCCCATTGAGCTTCCCTCTCTCCTTTTCCGTAGTCCTTCTTTGTTGTGAAGGCAGTCTAAAAGCAATCAAACCAAACACGAAATCATTGCATTTGCATTATATTTACTAATGAGCCGCAGATGCAGACACGTGTCAGACACCCGGCATTAACTAGTACATAAAATCTATGAAGCAAAGAAAATTTGGTGATTTTTGAAATGTTTATTTGTGGACCTTATTGTCGAGCATGTTGTCCCATGCCTTTCCCGACAATCCCAATCGGATGATGAATTTAAGGATGTCGAGAGGAATGTAAGTAATAATGCTGAAGATCCAGATTACTCCTGCCCATCCCCAACCAATGCCATTGATTCTAGCAAATCCCCAATGTGCATACACAGCAATGACAGTGGCCACCTAAGTTCAACAATTCACAAATATAAATTAAGGATAATTTCAAATCACAAGTTTTTTGAGATTTTTTTACTAAAAAGACTAACCAGTTGTGCAGCAAAGAAGGCTGTAAGAAGCAAAAGGCCGGGGCATTCGACGTAAGACCAACTCCTTGACCTTGTCACAAAGATGAGTGCTTGACTTATGATACTGACTTGAAGGTAGAGAGCTGAGTTAAGATGATCATTACTGTCTCCAATTGGTTTCACGCCGAAAACTCTCTGAAACAACAAAATGCGACCAAAGCTTGAAACAATTTTTATATGCTGATTATTTTGGGATAGAAGAAGTATTGAATTTGGAGCTGATAGAATTACTTACGGTGAAGAAATCGGTGTCATGAACTAAATAGAAGAACACAACAGTGATGATGGCCATGTAAGATCCAAGAACGATTCCAGTAGCAAAGATTTCGTTGAGTTTCCATGAATCGGGCACTGGTGATGGCTTCACTCTATCCTTAGAGATGGTCATGATGGTTCCATCATTCAAGATGGCAATGATGAGGACCATGAAAGGTGAGAAATCAAACTTCCATATCAGAGCGACAAGCATGAATCCGAATACGATACGGATGGTGATAGAAACAGCATAGATTGTATAGTTTTTCATCCTTTGGAAGATGGCTCTGCTAGTTAAGACAGCACTCACAATCACACTTAGACCCGGCTCTGTCAAAACAATGTCAGAAGCACTTCTTGCAGCATCAGTTGCATCTGCAACAGCGATACCGATGTCTGCTTTCTTCAATGCAGGTGCATCGTTCACACCATCACCAGTCATACCAACGATGTGTTTTCTATCTTGCAGCCTCTTCACAATCTCGTACTTGTGTTCTGCATATATACGGCGTAAACATGAGGTGTCAGTTCAGTTGTAAGAGTTTGAGTTTGTAACCTCTGAGGAACGGAGCTCAAGAGATTAAATTATATTGATGTCCTTAATTAACTAATTACCAGGGAAGACTCCGGCAAATCCATCAGCCTTCTCAATGAGTTCATCAATTGGGATTGATGCAATGGCAGGGTCCTTGTTATCACCAAGAAGGGATGATGAAGGATACATGTTGGTTCCCATTCCAAGTCTGCGACCGGTTTCTTTTCCAATGGCAAGTTGGTCACCAGTGATCATCTTAACATTAACACCGAGGTCAAGAGCACGTCGAATAGTCTCAGCACTGTCATGCCTTGGAGGGTCAAAGAGTGGCATGAGACCCAAAAACTCCCATGCGTCTCCTTCACTCTCCTTGGTCTTTTCTGAAACAGTCTATTAACCAAAAACAATTGTTTGTAAGATATATAATTTGCGTGACATAGTTACTACACCAAATTCAAATTAACTAGACCCTTTACTCACCTGGCGAGAAACAGCCAATGAACGCAGACCTCGTTCAGCAAACTGATCAATGATTGTGTGGGCCTTTTTCAAAGTCTCTCCCTTGAGTTCACAAAGCTCAATTATCTGATATAAAAAATGCATGGCTAGTCAAATATCATGTATTTTCTATAATAGTTACTTCATAGTGATTATTGAAGTTATATATTAGTATTATATAGTGCATTTCTATCATATGAAGTTAATCTTTATGGTTCTCAATATAACACTACTAAAATGTTACATCTGTGTAACTTGGTCCCTACTCTATTATATACACACATAACATTTGCAAGTGAAATGAATCCCTTACTTGTTCAGGAGCACCCTTGCTGCATCTGTGCCAATTTCCCTCGCCGTCAATGTATGTAATAGCAGTGCGTTTTCCTACTGGATTGAAGGGCAAGAAATGCACCTCAGTGATTCCGGCTCTTGCCTAGAATGTCAACACAAAGCCAAATTGACAAAGTTAAGGTTTGCATGCAAGATAAAAGAATATAAGTTTATAAGAAAAAAAAAACATTATCTCAGTACCTCCTTGGGATCACCCAACATTCCAACGATTGAAGCATCGATGGCATCTTGGTTTTCAACCCTAGAAGCCCTGGCAGCAGCCAAGAGAAGACCGTCCTTGTCTACGCTATTAACGAACACCTGTTATTACAAGCAACGTTGATCAAAACAATAGAACTTTTTTATGACAATATAAACTTTTAGATTGGTTATTAACCTCAATCAAGTTTTTGTCAACAGAGAGTTTGTTAAGTGTGAGAGTTCCGGTCTTGTCACTGCAGAGAACATCCATCCCAGCCATTTCTTCAATAGCTGTCATCCTCTTGGTGATAGCTCCTTGCTGAGACAAACGGTGAGACCCAATAGCCATTGTCACGGACAAAACCGTTGGCATGGCGATTGGGATACCTCCGATGAGAAGAACCAACAAATTGTCAATACCTTCTCTATATGCCCTCTGTTGAATTGGGTACATCACAATAATCTCAATCAACATTCCTAGTGCAATGGAGCAGATACAGAAGTTTCCAATCGATGTCAACACCTAATAGAATCCAAAGATTAGTCCATATAGTCCAAAGTTAAGCACTTCATTTATGAAACTAAAGAACACAAAAGTGTACCTGTTGGAAGTGACCAACATTGTTGGTGCTATCTACAAGGTGAGCAGCCTTTCCAAAGAAAGTGTGGACACCGGTGGCAATGACAACAGCCTCAATCTCACCTTGTTTGCAGGTTGAACCAGAGAAGACCTCATCACCAGGGTTCTTGGTAACCGGAAGTGACTCACCAGTAAGTGCAGATTGGTCGATCTTAAGGGGATCTCCTTCCAAGAGACGAGCATCAGCCGGAACAATATCTCCCAGTTTGATGCTCACTAAATCTCCTGGCACCAAAATCGACGCCTCTTGCTCAGTCCATTTTCCATCCCTCAGCACCTACAAGTTTGTTAATTAATTTATTCATGTTAGAGTGAGATTGACAACCCCGTCAAAAGAAAACACAAACACATCGAAATGCACAAGATTTGATCATACAGTTCGGCCAAATTTATCTACGTCTTATACTAAATAACGGCTGCAAAGCCTATTGATTACCTTGGTTTTAGGTGCAAGACCGGCCATTAAAGCTGCTGCAGCATTACCTGCATTGTTTTCTTCAATGAAACTAATGGTTGAGTTGATGACAAGCAACACAACAATACCAACGAAATCTTGCCAATCCGCCGGCTTGCCCTATTTTATATACAAAAAGTTCATTAGATAATAAGTTCTTCGTCGCGAATTCTGAAAACCAACTCGCCTAAATTTTTTCTTATCAAAAAAGCAAAATAAATTGTAATTACCCCTCCATTGGCCAATCCAATAGCCATAAGAGCAGCAACCTCCATAACCCATGATAATGGATTCCACATGAAACCTAAGAACTTAAGGAACTTGCTTTCTGTTTTCTCTTCTAATTTATTAGGACCAAATATCACTAGCCTATTCTCTCCCTCAGCAGATGTTAGACCTTCTTTGCTACATTTTAGCTGCTTGAAAACCTCTTCAATTGGAATGTTTTCCTACACATACACACAAATACAACATAAACCAAACCGATAAAAAAAATCATAATCATTGTTTTAAATTGCGGTTGTGGTCATGGTTTTCATACCAGATCAACATTCTCTTTCTTGAGGTCTTCAAATAGATTATCCGACGACATTATGGGAAAGCTATAAAATCCACCTTCTTCCTATAAAATTTTACTTTAAAAAAGAGAGCTCCAGAGAGCTCCACCTTCTTTGGGACTTCCTATAGAAGCCCGAAGAAGGATGGAACTAATGAAAAAGTAAAAAAATTGATATTGGAAGAAGACAGTAAGTAATTCCGAGGTCATACATGAGTTTCTTCGTTTATATAGGTAATGCATGATACTATTGTTGTCAACCACTGATTATTCGTTTTCCTAGGAAATGTTTGTTGCATGTTTTTTGTGGCCCACCGAAGTCGACGGGTCTTGCAAAATGTTTCTTCTTTCTTATTATAGTCAATATATCATCATGCTATATGTATAATTAGTATAAGCTGTATTTGTTGGTGGTTTTTTTTCATGCCGAATTTTCAAAATATATAGGTTATACTTGTGCAACAAAATGTTACTGTTAACTCACAACTCACCAGCCTTATGAAAAATTGTTCTCGTGCCTGTTAATTTTGAACATAGTTGTAAAAATCGGACCGGTTGAATCGGGAATCGGGCTAGTAATGTTGGCGTTAGCTGTCAACAAAATTGTAGGGACTATAATAGGAATATAGTTATTAATTGTTAATTTCTCTGATTTGGTTATAATTATTCTGATTTAGTTATAATTAAAAATAGGGTTTTCTGTGTATATAAATATAACCACTTCTCATCTGATGTATACGATTGAAATATATGAAAATATTATACCAATTTAACATGGTATCAGTCGCCAGGTCTTAATCCAGACCTACGGTAACACTTTCCATCCTTCTTCCATGGCCGACTCGGATTCAAACTCCGATGAGACTACCTCGTCTTCTATTCTTGCTGAGTTGACGACGAAAATGACGGAAGTCCTGAACCGTGCTTCAGCCCCGTCACAAATTGGCTCTGACCATACGGTGGCACCGATTGGCATTAAGTTAGATGGCAACAACTATCCCCTTTGGTCCCAGGTGGTCGAGATGTATATCTCGGGCAAAGACAAACTGGGATATATCAACGGAGATTTCCCGTAACCCCCTCAAACAGATCCTACATTTCGACGTTGGCGGACTGACAACGCGATTGTTAAGGGATGGATAATCAACTCAATGGACTCCTCTCTAATCAGCAACTTTATTCGATTCTCAACTGCCAAACTGGTGTGGGATGCAATTGCGACCACGTACTTCGATGGCAGTGATACCTCCCAAGTGTATGACCTTCGGCGACGGGTGACACGTCTTAAACAAGCCGGTGATTCTCTTGAAAAATATTATAACGATCTCCAAGAACTTTGGTGTGAGATAGATTTTCGTCGTCCAAATCCGATGACATGTCAAGTTGATATCCAACACTACAATACACTTGTCCAAGAAGAACGAGTGTATGTGTTTTTGGATGGACTTGATGACCGCTTGGATAATATCAGAAGCGACGTTTTACAAATGAAACCGTTTCCAACAGTGGAGCAAGCATATGCACATGTTAGGAGGGAAGCTCTTCGTCAGGTAGTGATGACAGACAACTCCAATGAATTATCAGGAGCAGGTCTTGCATCCAAGGGTCTCAAATTACAGAACAGTAAGATATTTTCTCAATCCAAACATAAAGAACCATCTAATGACACTAAGTGCTCTCATTGTGGAGGTAACAAACATACTAGTGAGACATGTTTTAAGCTCCATGGCTATCCAGACTGGTGGACAGACTTTCAGGCTCGAAAGCGTCGCGAAACAACTGAGAGCAACCCGGGCAAAGCTGCAGTAGCTACTGCTGAACCACATCTTTCCCTCATTCCGAAATCAAGTTCCCACACCACTGAAGGTAATGTTCTAATTTGCTCTAATCATGATGATGACTCTAACGCATGGATACTTGATTCCGGAGCTACCGATCATATGACGTTTGATGCTGCTGATTTCTCTGAACGTTCAACCCCTCGGCGCTCAAGTATTGCCAACGCAAATGGTGATTTATCGGCGGTAACAGGGGCTGGAACTGTTGTAACACCCCCTTCTACACCCCAAATAAATGCATATAAAACAATTAAGCACATACAAATTATCAGAGTAAAAAGGTTTTATAATAAGGTATAAAAGAAGAATGCCACAATTTCACCAACGAAACCCTTCAACATTTTTGCTCCATAAAATATGTAACAATTTCGTAGTTTTAGAATTCACATTTCAACATTCAATTTGAGCGGAAAATAACATCATTTGATCAGTTCCAAAATATTAATTCAAATGCACATAAGTCATCCAGATTAATGCATCATATCAGTTAGATTACAAAACCACATCAGCTGATACATCGCAATGTATCACAAAAGAATGACTATACTAGTCTAACTACCCGGTGTTACATATCAGAGCAGCCGACTCAAAAGAATGAAGACTAACTTCACAAAAGGACTCCAGCATCCTAATCTGCAATGCCTCATAGAGCATTATAAAACAGCAGAAGGGTGAGAAATATAACCATAATAATCAAAGCATAAGATTATATATATATATAGGTAGTCATATAACACATATTCACATTTCTCACCATACTTCATTCTCTTAGTCATATATATTTACCACACATATATAGACAAACCTGGATATTCACAAAGCATTTCCACATTATGCATACACTTACAATTTCCACAATCTCATCATTCACACATAAGCATCTCTTCATGCATATGTCATATATCAATGTGACTCAATAACTCAATGCAACTCATGCAATGCGGTACCGACTCTCGTTATCTTTTTTCGGTTTTTACATTAAACCGGGTCCACTCTTCTAGACCGATAACCCGTTATCTTTTTTCGGTTTTTACATTAAACCGGGTCCACTCTTCTAGACCGATAACCACAAAGGCCCGTCCTCTAAGCCTTCAAACCCACTCTTCTAGGTTTGGGACAAGCCACTAGTTTCCACGAAACTAACAGACATTGCCTCTTGACTAAATGATGCATGTACAATCAACCACAACAAATGCACTTAAGACCGACATCTTAATCTCATGCATTTACATAATTCATCTCTTCAAGAATTATACAATGATTGCACATACAGCATATATCACAACAATCAAGGTATTCACATCACAATACCAATCATACAATTACAAGTGATGCACACATATTCACAATGTTCTCATGCATACTCATCACATAATTGTATACACATCAAGCATTCACAAGTTCATTAAATAATACACACATAATCACCTATTATGTTCACATGTATTTATACTTGATGCAATTAACATTCAAATCACAATTCTAGGATTCACGCCCGTAGGCTACCCACAACACACATCATCACAATAGATCATATCTATATCATATCATAGAGGTATTGACCTCTGAGAGGCAACCAAACCATCTCCACATGAACAACACAGCAAAGGAAAAATGCTGTCACATTCGCCTCCATTCGCCTGGCCTTCGCCTGGCGAACTCTCTCAGCGAACACTCGCTAGGCTTCGCCTGGCGAGACTTCCCAGCGAGCCCAAGTCAGTAGCTACTGACTTCATTCGCCACCATTCGCCAGCACCTTCGCTGGGCGAACCCTCGCTACTCAACTTCGCCTGGCAAACCCACCAGCGAAGTCCACTGGGACTTAAATATAATTATTCGCCAACATTCGCTAGGCTTCGCCTGGCGAAGCTTCGCCTTCGCTCGCCTGGCGAGAGCCAGCGAACCTGCGCAGAACAGAACCCTATTCTGTTCCACCTCCACCATCCACCATCATCCAACTTCTCACACAACAAAATCAGTACAAACAGCATCAACACATGTTACCCAACTATTCTACGGCATTATTGCTCAGTTTCAACCGATTAAATCATCAATCTACCGATTATTCCAACTTTTGCCCTAATTGGAAAGTGATGAAAACTCTACCAAACCCCAACCCAACATACATAACATCATACAATGATCAAATAGAAACATTTCTCACCCTTACCTCGATTAATCGGAGCTTTGATGTTGGTTCTTGATGATTTCCACTTTTCCTCTTCTTCTCTTCTCTTTCTCTCCTTTCTTCTTCTTTCCTCTTTCTTTCCAAATGTTTTCTATCTTTCTTTTCTTTTCTTTCTCTCTTATATATTTCCTTCATTTTCCTTCCTCTCCAATTCCTTCTTAATTCTCTATTAATCCCAATTAATAAAAATTAATTTCCAACATTGATAAAATCCCACTAAATAAATTAATTACTACAATTAATTATTTAATGAAATTTGGGCTGTTACAACTCTCCCCCACTTTAGGAATTTTCGTCCTCGAAAATGTTACCTGATTCAAACAGTTCTGGATAAGACTCCTTCATCCGACTCTCAAGCTCCCAAGTAACATTTCCACCAGCCGGTCCTCCCCAAGCGACCTTTACTAAAGCAATCTCTTTACCTCGAAGCTGCTTCAATTTCCGATCCTCAATCCGCATAGGTGATGCCTCAACAGTCAGGTTATCTTTCACCTGCACATCATCTATTTGGACTACATGAGACGGATCCGCAATGTATTTCCTCAACTGAGATACATGGAATACGTCATGAAGATTAGCAAGCGACGGTGGTAAAGCCACACGATAGGCCACTTCTCCTATCCTTTGCAAAATCTGATAAGGACCAATGAAACGCGGCGACAACTTGCGCGACTTCAGTGCCCTACCAACACCTGTCATCGGAGTGACTCGAAGAAACACATGATCTCCCTCTTGAAATTCAAGTGCCTTCCTCCTCTTGTCATAATAACTCTTCTGACGACTCTGAGTAATTCTCATCTTCTCTTGAATCATCTTGATCTTATCAGTAGTCTGTTGAACTAACTCGGGTCCAACAACAGAACTCTCTCCGGACTCGAACCAACACAATGGTGTCCTACACCTCCTACCATACAACGCCTCAAATGGTGCCATACCAATACTCGAATGGAAACTGTTGTTGTAGGTAAACTCAATCAAAGGCAAGTAGCTATCCCAAGCTCCTCCTTTTT